GTTGATTAAAAGTTTACATACGAATTATAAGTTGCAAAAATGTGTAATCACGAACGCCAATCTTACCCACAGTCCCCTTATGAGTCATCCATCTCGCCAAGCATCGGCCAACGACAGCATTCAGCAAACGAAGAGTAGAACTGATTGCGTCAGTTTGCACCTTGAATGAATGACAGCTGACACACCTAGAAAGCAAAACACATTGCTCTTCAATCTTCTCCTATTTGTACTTTATGCTGACACTATTTACAATCATCCAATAATCTTAGCTATTGATATTATCAACACCATCACCGTCATTATTATTTTACACTTTTGACCATTTTCCAACTACAAATACCAATTTTTTTTCCTTCACGTTCCCCAATGGAACTTAGGGCTTCAAGCTAGTGGCTTGGAGTTTCTGTAGCAGTGTTTATTTTACAGGATGGGGTTGCTAGCCTCATGCCCAACCTCTCCTCTTCACCAGCATTATATTTCTGGCATAGCGAGGTAGAGGAGTGCGTCGGCCGGGGATCGAACCCCGGACCATATGCGTGGTCGGCGAGCGTCCTAAACACTATGCCAGCGACAAACACCAATCGACAATAGGCTACTATTATCGATTCCAGCTACCAAAACCATGTAATGTAAATACTTTCGGTTTTGCTGCTTCCGAGTGAATACATCGGATAGAATATTATACCAAATTCAGAGAACTCCACACTTCACCATAAAAAGTACTGTATTATGAAAGAGAAAATCATCGTTTCTATTGTTGTTATCATTACTATTAATGCTAACTAGCAATTCTCTTCTTCTTCCTGCCATTATTATTAATATTATAACTAGGGAATTAATTCCATATTTCCCATCTTAGTACACACAGAGTTCCGTATGCATCAGGCAAACATCACATATTCTCGAACACTTGCATTGGTTAGTTCACATTTCAGTGCTCTGGTGGGGGGAAAACACTTAATGCTCTTAAATTAACTAACTCTAATTGAATGCTTGTAAAACCAATTCACCACATTATACTAACGCAGAAACTAACCTTATGTATGCTTATGGAATAATTGAACATTCGTCTTCCATTGTTTTATGTATACTTTGAGCGGTCACGCACGCCTGTGTGTGTTTACTTCGCGTGCTTCGAAGGTGGGTTTTGCTCAGTATGCATTTTCCACGTCTCCGCTCGTGCATTTAACGCAGAGTTGTTCGTGTTTGGCCGTAGAACATGAAAAACTGGGTGCATTATAGTATATTAGTCGGAGTCTCATATCGTTCACAAGACTGCTGGTTACAGTGATCTTGAAACATATTCCATCCACTCCCATGTTTAGGATGCGGGCCAAGACAACCAATAAGCTGTAAAACAGTGAACGAAAAACATACAGCTAATGAATCACGGAGGGGCAGGAGGTATGAACAGGAAAGAGAGAAAGTTGGTAATTAATGCTTGAGAGCCGGTTAGAAATATTCACTGTCATTGTTTGGTGTTTCGATTTAATTTAGAAGTTCTGAAACTAGGCATTCAGCACCATATATGTCGTACCAATTACCAGTATCCAATTTGAGCCAGCTAATAAGTCCCTTAAGCTTTGGTACAGTATAAGTGGTGGGGCCAATTAGTCAGGTTTATTTAGGATATGCTAGAAACCAGTTAACTTCAAATTCAGATGATTAGGAAAGAAGGCCCTTGTGGCCTGTGTTAATCCTGGCAAAATATATCTCTGCAGAGATCTAACTTCCCTTTGGAAGCGTTCACAGATGAAGGTGACGCCACTGATTCAGGTAAGGAGCTCCAGTCGTTGACCACTCTGTGAGTGAATCTAAATTCTGCACGTATTTTAATCGTACTCGGTGTCAGCATCGTTTTGTGGTGACCCCGTAAATGTATCCTAGAAGGGGAGAGAAGTTTGGAAAGGTCAGTTCCTAAATCACCCTTAAGTATACGGTATGCTAAAATTAAGTCGCCTCTCTTCCTTCGGTATGATAACGGGAAGAGATTTAAATGCTCCATCCTCATATCATAAGGAAGGTGTGAGATACCACTAACTAATTTCGTTCGTACTCTCTGTACTTTTTCCGGGATATGTGCCTCCTTTTTGAAGCATGGACTCGCCGATTGTATGCAGTATTCTAGATGAGGCCTGACATATGTTTCGTAGAGTATTTGCCCTCGTCTAATCGTTTGAAAGCCCTTCGAAGTGCCCATAGCATTCGAAAAGCCTTAGTTGCGGCTGCATTACTATTTGCAGTTGTTTTCAAATCATTGCTGACAATGATTCCTAGGTCCTTCTGTTCGTTAACATCAGATAGTCCTGTGTCCCCTAGGGAGTACGACTTCTAACCTACGTGCATTACCGCGCTTTTCCTAGAATTCATTTCCAAACTCCACAGGTTCGACCACTCAGCTAATTTATCTAGATCAGTTTGTAGGGCCGACCTATCCTAGTTATTATTTACAGTTTTCCAGATCTTAATGTCGTCCGCAAATAATAATGAAGATGAAGAAACCCCGGTAGCTCATTAGAGTATAATAGGAATAGTCAGGGGCCTAATACAGTTCCCTGAGGCACTCCACTGGGTACTGCTTTCCACCCTGATAGTACACCGTTAACTCTAACCTCCTGCCGTCTGTCCATTAAGTAATCCCTGAACCACTCACGTGGGCATTGCTCTTGTTCGGCTGGCTGAAAATACGTAATAGATAAGACGCAAATCGCTCTAATTCATAACTCACTTCCAAGCCACTTTCACCATTCAGTTTTGCATTTATTTTTTATTTTATTTTTTAATTTTTGATTACAGCTTGATGCCACACCGTATTTTCAGTACAAGTATGACATTTTCAGCATGGATATCGGTAGCCCAAATTTTGCAGGCCGACCATAGATATCGGGTGTGCACCGGCAGAGGATCGAACCCTAGACCATGTGCATGGTCGGCGAGAGTCCTAACCGCTGTGCCACCGACGCACTATATGGATATATATGCCTAATTCCGTTTGTATACTTTTTATTTCTGTTCTTTCTTTTCTATAATAGCCTCCCTGTCCTTGTGCCAGAGTTTCTCTTCTGCTGCAAGTTGGATTTTCCCTAGCAGTAGCCGAACAAGAATTGAAGTTCGAGCATAGAGACCTGCATTGGGGAATGTTTTGCTCGATGAAAGTTGTGTATCCCCTCCTGTAAATAAGTCAACAATGTCCTCTTTATCGTCGACGTCATTATCTTCTTCTCCTCCTCCTCCTCCTCGCGCTCCGTCTCCTCATTGTCTACATCTTTAAAAGATTCTTGCAAATATTGTCCAAATAAGAAGAATATTTACACGAATATTGTTCTTATTTGGACAATATTTACAAAATCTTTTAAAGATGTAGACAATGAGGAGACGGAGCGCGAGGAGGAAGAAGATAATGACGTCGACGATAAAGAGGACATTGTTGACTTATTTACAGGAGGGGATACACAACTTTCATCGAGCAAAACATTCCCCAATGCAGGTCTCTATGCTCGAACTTCAATTCTTGTTCGGCTACTGCTAGGGAAAATCCAACTTGCAGCAGAAGAGAAACTCTGGCACAAGGACAGGGAGGCTATTATAGAAAAGAAAGAACAGAAATAAAAAGTATACAAACGGAATTAGGCATATATATCCATATAGTGCGTCGGTGGCACAGCGGTTAGGACTCTCGCCGACCATGCACATGGTCTAGGGTTCGATCCTCTGCCGGTGCACACCCGATATCTATGGTCGGCCTGCAAAATTTGGGCTACCGATATCCATGCTGAAAATGTCATACTTGTACTGAAAATACGGTGTGGCATCAAGCTGTAATCAAAAATTAAAAAATAAAATAAAAAATAAATGCAAAACTGAATGGTGAAAGTGGCTTGGAAGTGAGTTATGAATTAGAGCGATTTGCGTCTTATCTATTACGTATTTTCAGCCAGCCGAACAAGAGCAATGCCCACGTGAGTGGTTCAGGGATTACTTAATGGACAGACGGCAGGAGGTTAGAGTTAACGGTGTACTATCAGGGTGGAAAGCAGTACCCAGTGGAGTGCCTCAGGGAACTGTATTAGGCCCCTGACTATTCCTATTATACTCTAATGAGCTACCGGGGTTTCTTCATCTTCATTATTATTTGCGGACGACATTAAGATCTGGAAAACTGTAAATAATAACTAGGATAGGTCGGCCCTACAAACTGATCTAGATAAATTAGCTGAGTGGTCGAACCTGTGGAGTTTGGAAATGAATTCTAGGAAAAGCGCGGTAATGCACGTAGGTTAGAAGTCGTACTCCCTAGGGGACACAGGACTATCTGATGTTAACGAACAGAAGGACCTAGGAATCATTGTCAGCAATGATTTGAAAACAACTGCAAATAGTAATGCAGCCGCAACTAAGGCTTTTCGAATGCTATGGGCACTTCGAAGGGCTTTCAAACGATTAGACGAGGGCAAATACTCTACGAAACATATGTCAGGCCTCATCTAGAATACTGCATACAATCGGCGAGTCCATGCTTCAAAAAGGAGGCACATATCCCGGAAAAAGTACAGAGAGTACGAACGAAATTAGTTAGTGGTATCTCACACCTTCCTTATGATATGAGGATGGAGCATTTAAATCTCTTCCCGTTATCATACCGAAGGAAGAGAGGCGACTTAATTTTAGCATACCGTATACTTAAGGGTGATTTAGGAACTGACCTTTCCAAACTTCTCTCCCCTTCTAGGATACATTTACGGGGTCACCACAAAACGATGCTGACACCGAGTACGATTAAAATACGTGCAGAATTTAGATTCACTCACAGAGTGGTCAACGACTGGAGCTCCTTACCTGAATCAGTGGCGTCACCTTCATCTGTGAACGCTTCCAAAGGGAAGTTAGATCTCTGCAGAGATATATTTTGCCAGGATTAACACAGGCCACAAGGGCCTTCTTTCCTAATCATCTGAATTTGAAGTTAACTGGTTTCTAGCATATCCTAAATAAACCTTACTCATTTGCCCCTTCCGACCGATAGCTGCTACCTCGACGTGGTAGTCGGGCTTGCATATCGCAATGACCCAGCGAGCTACACTGGCTGGAACTTATGTTCCTGTAGGTCCCACCATCCCAGAAAGGTTGTCTGCATAGCGGTTAGACAAAAAGCAGCTACCCGATCCAATACTATGATTCAAACAAGCTCACAAAATATCATGCCGGATCGGTCGGGGCCCGGATTAACAACGACCGCACTTTCTGCTGCTGTCACAGGCCAGAAGTGATAAATCTGCTACTGAGACACACCAAACAAGAAAGAACAAACAAAAACAGGCCGCGTGTGACCGGCCTCAAGCAGTTGTCCCCTGGGCTCTGCGGTCACGCAACACTAACCTTCTCTCTCTCCCCTTCTCAGGCGTGAGGCTAGCAACATCACCCTGTAAACAAACCTGTTACAGAAACTTCAGCACGATGAATCTCCTTGCGCCAAAAGGAAAAGTCTGTGTGGAGACATGGAATGTCCGCACCATGTACAAGATTGGCAAAGCTTCCCAGATCGCAAACGAAATGAAAAGATACGGAATTCAAGTACTGGGGATATGCGAAAGCAGATGGAACGGGAATGGATTCATCAAATTGTCAACGGGTGAGTCAGTGATCTACTTCGGTCACACAGAGGATAACCACATGCACACCGAGGGCGTGGCTATCATGATGTCACCAACAGCAACAAAGGCCCTCATGCAATGGGAGGCGATCTCGCCCAGAATAATGACCGCCAGATTCAACTCCAAAGGAAGGAAAATGTCAGTTATACAATGCTATGCACCGACAAACAACGCAGACCTCGAAAAGAAAGAAGAATTCTACAGACAACTACAGGCAACAATGGACAATATTCCAGTCAGAGACATTAAAATACTAATGGGAGACATGAACACCAAACTGGGATCAGACAACACAGGAAGGGAACTCATCATGGGTAGAGAAGCTCTCGGAGAAATGAATGAAAACGGAGAACTCTTCGCCGACTTCTGCGCCTTCAATCAACTAGTGATTGGTGGCAGCGTATACAAACACAAGGATATCCACAAGGCTACATGGGTGTCACCAGATGGGCGAACCAAAAACCAAATCGACTTCATCTCAATGTTGCTCAAGGAAGTGGAGGCGCAGCCTGCTCAACACAAAAGTAAGAAGAGGAACAGATGTTGGCTCAGACCACGTACAATGGACAATCCAAATCAAATTAAAAGCTTTCAGAGAAACAGGAGCTGCAGTAGACCACAAGCCAAGTTCAACACTCAAAAACTGAAGGACCAGGACACAAAGGACATCTTCACTGCAAGCATAAAGGACAAAGCCGAGACACAAATCAACACTAGCGAAAAGGTCAGCGTCGAAAAGCACTGGAACAACTTAAAAACAGTGTGGAGTGAAACATGCATGGAAGTTCTAGGCAGAAAGAAGGGACAGGACAAACAATGGCTCACTACGGACACTTGGAGACTGATAGAAGAGAGAGGGACGGTGAAACAAAAGATTCTCCAGTGCACCGACGAGCAACAAAAACAGGATTTGAACGCAAGCTACAAAACACTGAACAAAAGAGTAAAGAAGAGTGCCAGGGAAGACAAAAGAAAGTATTATGAAGCCATGGCAAGTAAAGCAGAACAAGCTGCAGGCAAAGGAGACCTCTCAACACTCTACCAAACAACTAGGTACCTATGGGGCAAAAGTTTGACACAAATCAAGCCGGTGAAGGATGACAATGGAAAGTCACTCACCAAAGAACTGGAGCAAAGGAAACACTGGGCTGAACACTTCAAAAGACTCCTAAATCGACCACCACCTACAACGCGCCCAACAATACCAAAAACAGAGACAGAGCTACCAGTGAACACCAACCCCCCGACGAAATCAGAAGTCCTGAAGGCAATCAAGATGCTAAAAGCTGGAAAAGCAGCAGGACCAGACGGAATCCTAGCAGAAGCATTGAAAATGGACCCAAAGACAACAGCGGAATGGTGACGCCACTACTGGAAAGGTGTGGAAAGATAGCAAAGTACCCGAGGATTGGAAGAAAGGATACTTATTCAAACTACCAAAGAAAGGAGACCTAAGTCAATGCAAGAACTGGCGCGGAATTATGCTCCTGTCCATCCCAAGCAAAATACTAAGCCGCATCATCCTGGAGAGAATCAAACATGCCAACCTGGATGAAAACCTCCGACCGGAACAGGCTGGATTCAAGAGAAACAAGTCATGCATTGATCAGATCGCCACATTACGAATCATCATTGAACAAAGCTTGGAATGGCAGTCACCTCTTTATCTCAACTTCATCGACTTTGAAAAGGCCTTCGACAGCGTCAATCGAGAGGTGCTTTTGCAACTACTTCGCTACTATGGGGTGCCACCGACAATTATACATCTCATCCAACAGCTGTACGACAATGCTGCATGCCAAGTAATCCACAACGGGAAACTTACGGAGTCCTTCGAAGTGAGGACAGGAGTAAGACAAGGCTGCCTACTATCGCCAATGATTCTCCTGATTGCAGTAGACTGGATAATGCGACATACAGCGGGCAATGAGGGAACAGGCATAAAATGGACTCACACAAGAAACATGGAGGATCTGGACTTCGTCGATGATATTTGTCTGATTTTCCACAAACTGGAAGATATGCAAGTGAAAAGCAACAAGTTGCCAGAAGAAGCATCAAAGATAGGACTTCAGGTGAACATAAAGGAAGAGGTAATCAAGATTCCTGGACAAGAACAACAACAACTGACAACAATCAGCATAAATGGGAGGAACCTGAAAGAAACAACCTCCTTTACCTACCTTGGAAGCATCGTTTCGACTACAGACGGACGGAACTGACGAGGATATCAAAGCAAGGATCGGAAAAGCAAGACAAGCTTTCACTACTCTCAAGTCTGTGTGGAGGTCAACAACACTCAGCATCAAAACTAAGATCCGGATTTTCAACTCCAATGTGAAGTCAGTGCTACTATACGGATCAGAGACTTGCACTGCGCGTCATGAAGAGCATCTCAAACAAACTACAGACCTTCATTAACAGTTGTCTTCGCTCAATACCACTCGAGATCAGTTGGCTAGAAAATATCAGCAACGGGGACCTTTGGGAGCGAACCAACCAGGAACCAATTGTGAAACAAATAGGCAGGAAGAAATGGAGGTGGATTGGCCATACTCTGAGGAAACCATCAAGCGACATTACTAGACAAGACCTCGAGTGGAACCCGAAAGGGAAGCGGCGAGTTGGTCGTCAGTGCAAGGGTGACTTGGAGGAGTTTATGTGAAGAGGAGATGAAAACGTGTGGGCAGACTTGGAGCCAGGTGAAGACTCTAGCAGAGAACCGAACGCAATGGAGACGCACGGCTGAAGCCCTATGTTCCTCTAGGAATTAAAGGACACAATAATGATAATAATTGGCCCCACCACTTATACTGTACCAAAGCTTAAGGGATTTATTAGCTGGCTCAAATTGGATACTGGTAATTGGTACGACATATATGGTGCTGAATGCCTAGTTTCAGGACTTCTAAATTAAATCCAAACACGAAACTATTACAGTGAATATTTCTTACCGGCTCTCAAGCATTGAATTCGATCTCAAGATGACTTGCGCCATATTGTGTGATTTGCCAACATTCTCTCCTTCCTGTTCATACCTCCTGCCCCTCCGTGATTCATTAGCTGTATGTTTTTCGTTCACTGTTTTACAGCTTATTGGTTGTCTTGGCCCGCATCCTAAACATGGGAGTGGATGGAATATGTTTCAAGATCACTGTAACCAGCAGTCTTGTGAACGATATGAGACTCCGACTAATATACTATAATGCACCCAGTTTTTCATGTTCTACGGCCAAACACGAACAACTCTGCGTTAAATGCACGAGCGGAGACGTGGAAAATGCATACTGAGCAAAACCCACCTTCGAAGCACGCGAAGTAAACACACACAGGCGTGCGTGACCGCTCAAAGTATACATAAAACAATGGAAGACGAATGTTCAATTATTCCATAAGCATACATAAGGTTAGTTTCTGCGTTAGTATAATGTGGTGAATTGGTTTTACAAGCATTCAATTAGAGTTAGTTAATTTAAGAGCATTAAGTGTTTTCCCCCCACCAGAGCACTGAAATGTGAACTAACCAATGCAAGTGTTCGAGAATATGTGATGTTTGCCTGATGCATACGGAACTCTGTGTGTACTAAGATGGGAAATATGGAATTAATTCCCTAGTTATAATATTAATAATAATGGCAGGAAGAAGAAGAGAATTGCTAGTCATTAGAAATATTATTGAAAACAGTTTCAGATGATTAGGAAAGAAGGCCCTTGTGGCCTGTGTTAATCCTGGCAAAATATACCTCTGCAGAGATCTAACTTCCCTTTGGAAGCGTTCACAGATGAAGGTGACGCCACTGATTCAGGTAAGGAGCTCCAGTCGTTGACCACTCTGTGAGTGAATCTAAATTCTGCACGTATTTTAATCGTACTCGGTGTCAGCATCGTTTTGTGGTGACCCCGTAAATGTATCCTAGAAGGGGAGAGAAGTTTGGAAAGGTCAGTTCCTAAATCACCCTTAAGTATACGGTATGCTAAAATTAAGTCGCCTCTCTTCCTTCGGTATGATAACGGGAAGAGATTTAAATGCTCCATCCTCATATCATAAGGAAGGTGTGAGATACCACTAACTAATTTCGTTCGTACTCTCTGTACTTTTTCCGGGATATGTGCCTCCTTTTTGAAGCATGGACTCGCCGATTGTATGCAGTATTCTAGATGAGGCCTGACATATGTTTCGTAGAGTATTTGCCCTCGTCTAATCGTTTGAAAGCCCTTCGAAGTGCCCATAGCATTCGAAAAGCCTTAGTTGCGGCTGCATTACTATTTGCAGTTGTTTTCAAATCATTGCTGACAATGATTCCTAGGTCCTTCTGTTCGTTAACATCAGATAGTCCTGTGTCCCCTAGGGAGTACGACTTCTAACCTACGTGCATTACCGCGCTTTTCCTAGAATTCATTTCCAAACTCCACAGGTTCGACCACTCAGCTAATTTATCTAGATCAGTTTGTAGGGCCGACCTATCCTAGTTATTATTTACAGTTTTCCAGATCTTAATGTCGTCCGCAAATAATAATGAAGATGAAGAAACCCCGGTAGCTCATTAGAGTATAATAGGAATAGTCAGGGGCCTAATACAGTTCCCTGAGGCACTCCACTGGGTACTGCTTTCCACCCTGATAGTACACCGTTAACTCTAACCTCCTGCCGTCTGTCCATTAAGTAATCCCTGAACCACTCACATAGGCATTGCTCTAGTTCGAAACCTTTAAGTTCACTGAGGATCCCTCTGTGGGATACTTCATCGAGTGCCCTGCTTAGATCGGTAAAACGTTATCCAACATATTGTTTTCATCTCTGGCCCCAACTACTTCTTCCTTAACCAATAGTAGATTCGTGAGTCAGGTCCGTCCTTTTCGGAATCCATAATGTTCCCAGCAAGCCATGTTTTTCAATATGAGCTGATACCTGATTCCTTATTGTAGTTTCCAATACCTTTGCTGTAGTGCATTTCAGACTCACCGGCCGGTAGTTAGATACCAATTGCCTGTCCCCTTCTTTGAGGATAGGGCTTATAATGGCATCCTTCCAGTCTTTGGGTAGCTTAGTCTGGGTCACAGACATTTGGAAAATCTCCGTAAGTGGTACATATATTGTATCCGCCAGGGAAATTAACAGTTTAGGGCGAAGTCAATCGGGCCCATGTGATTTACCTGGCTTCAGTTTAGACAGTAGTTTGTATGCTTTGTATGCCTTTGTATGCTCCACAACGATTCAGGGCATCTGAGTGGCGATGGCAGTCACCTCACCATATCCCTGGGTGATACGATCAGACGAGAAGACGTCACAGAGGTATTCAGAGAGGTTTTCAGCCTTTCCTTCGTCTGATGCCTATGAGTGACGGTGTACCACCGTTAGTTTTAGTCTTACGTTTAATATACGAGCAAAGCCTTTTGGGGTAATGAACACAATCTAGTACTAGCCGTCTCTCGTACTCTATCCGACTCTTGGTAATCACATACTTACAGAGATTTCGAATTTTGCGGTAGTCTTTCCGGAAATTTTCCCTTCCTGTCATAATAAATTGGTCCCATAAGTTCTTCCTCCTTATTTCACTAGTAATCCAAGGTGGCTTATGTGAAGTGACATAATCTAGCGTATTCCTAAATCCTATCCAAGCTTCCTCGACAGTCCGACTTGTATCAACTGACCAGTCAACTTCAGTTGCTGTGTTCCGGATTCCCTATGTATCCGCTTTCCAAGTCTTTGGACGAGCAGATTTTGACATGTGCATGAGAGAATGAATATTAAACGTAAAAGCGATGACCGTGTGGTCACTGCTGCCAAGCGGCGGAAGTCACCTAATGTCACTAACGTCCCCCTTCTGGTGTGTTAATACCAAGTCTAGAGTAGACGGATCATGTTCCGGGTGATACCGTGTTGGTGGATGCATATATTGCACGAGTGCACATTCGAACGCTGTCAGTGCGAGCTCCCTATTGAAACAGGTATACAAACTAGTGGAGTTTGATTCCCCAAATTAATATGTCGAGCAATAAAGTCGCCAGTAGCCAGACACCTATTTCTACTACCCCACGCCCTCAAGTGATTTAGAACGAAGTCATCAGCTTGGCTAGCAGGACTTCTGTAAATAACTCCCATCGTTAAAGTGCCTTTGTTCAAGTTGATGACGCAGCTTGCTGCTTCACTGGGGCCGCTGTCATGAGCTTCTAACAACGTTGATCTAAGTCTTATGTCATCCCGGATGTATAAAGCAAACCCCCACCTTTCCGACTACATACTCTGTCTGATCGAATGCAGATGTACCCAGGTATGAGTGGAGTTAAGTCTACACCCAATAGCTTGGGGTCTTTTTCGCCTTTCTCTAGCCTGGCCTTTAGTTAAGCCACGGCTTCTCTTCTTTTGATTCTATCTTCTAAAGGACAAACAGGCCTTATTTTTAAACTTTTATCATTGATTTTAAACGCGTTGCTGAGGATGGTGCTCCTCTCTGTTTCTTCCTCTAAAACTATCTTAAGTAGTCGTCGAGAAGTTTCCGTAGCATCAGGGTTTCGTTTCCCGATCATGATGGCCTTTCTTATGCGAACTACAATGGTTTTTTCGAGAAGTATTTCCCGGATAATGGAGCTAACCGCCTTCATATCATCAGCATGTCGGGCAGCTGGATCTGTGTTTTTACATTCCTCTAGGTTCCAGATGATGACACTACGGGGGGGGAGTTAAGACGCGGTAGGTCCAACGTTTGCGTCACATTTTTGCGTGATTCGTTACATAAAATTTATCTTGTTGTAATCCTTGCACAAGTACTCTACTACCTCTATACCTATAACTATTAACCCTCATATCAAATAGTTATGGTTAACCAAAGTAAAAAGCAACGAACTCAATCCCCTGTAAAACTGATGACTAATTTTAAGTCGCTGATTGCTACATCAAGCAACACACTCCCTACAAATGGTTATAGTGAGCCACATAACCCACTTGTATGTCGTAAGCGTCGAGCTGAAACTGAGGATAAAACTGCACTGACAGCTAGTATTAGCACTACTCCCAAAAATTCAGTACCCTCTGCTCATACAGAAACCCTCCCTTCACCTTACGTACTTATCGAAAAGCTCCAGCCTTCAAGCTCTGTTTCAGAACTATCTTCAGAAATAGAACTCCTAAAGTTGTCTATAGGAGAACTTAAGGCCGAGTTAAGGGACTTAAAAAACAATAAGTCAGTAGATCCTGGAATTTCTGAAACCAATACCAAAATATCCAAATTATCAGATCAGATCAGTGATATCAGATCGCAGGTCTGTGAACTGACACCTTTAACTATCCTCATGAGAACTGTAGACCCTAACACATTTGACATGGAATCGGTATCTAAGGTAGATAACCCAATTAACTTTGTTACTACAGAAGTAACAAAACGACTCGATGCTAAACTAAATGCTATTGTCTACAACGTTCCGGACAATGAGGCACTAAAAAGGGTACAGCGCATCCTACTTAGTGAGGCGAAAATGCCCAACTGCAAGACTAAGTGCTACAGGCTGAAGAAGAGTCAACATGAAAAGTGTTGTCCTATTCGTTTTCAGTTCGAAACACCGGCAGAGGCCAGAAAATTTACCCACTCCCAACACACCCTATCGCAAGTCAGAAATTACAAACTAATAAAGGTTGCGGTGGACAAGACAGTCATAGAAAGGCGCGTATACAATCATCTCACTGAGTCTAATTGTGGAATAAACAATAGGACATTGCAAGCAGCAATTATACCCAACCCTATGAGAGATACCGTAGAATCCACTGCACCACCCCTCTCAAACCACACAGAATTATCTTCTCAGAGAGCGACACCAACCGAAAG